TTCTATATGCTGACCTGTCGGACACTGCTGACCTGTCTGACACTGCTTGACCTGTCTGACACTGCTGACTGTCTGAACTGCTGACCTGTCTGACACTGCTGGCCTGTCTGATACCACTGACCTGTCTGATACTGCTGATCAATCTGACATGCTGACCTGTTGGACTGCTGGACCTGTCTGACACTTGCTGACTGTCTGACATGCTGGACCTGTCTGACGCTGCTGACCTGTATGGTCACCTGCTGGCCTGTCTGATACTGTGACCTGTTGACACTGCTCGGGCCTGCTGATACCACTGTCCTGTCTGATACTGCTGATCAATCTGACACTGCTGACCTGTTTGACTGCTGACCTGTCTGACACTGCTGACCTGTCTGACACTGCTAACCTGTCTGACACTGCTGACCTGTCTGACACTGCTGGCCTGTCTGATACTGCTGACCTGTCTGACACTGCTGGCCTGTCTGATACCACTGACCTGTCTGATACTGCTGATCAATCTGACACTGCTGACCTGTTTGACTGCTGACCTGTCTGACACTGCTGACCTGTCTGACACTGCTAACCTGTCTGACACTGCTGACCTGTCTGACACTGCTGACCTGTCTGACACTGCTGACCTGTTTGACTGCTGACCTGTCTGACACTGCTGACCTGTCTGACACTGCTGACCTGTCTGACACTGCTGACCTGTCTGACACTGCTGACCTGTCTGACACTGCTGACCTGTCTGACACTGCTGACAGTCACTGCGTAACATACTTCACAATCTGTGCATCACTCGCCACTATCTCTGTATCACTCATCACCATCAGTGTATCATTATCACTATCAATGTATCACTCATCACCATCAGTGTATCATTATCACTATCAATGTATCACTCATCACTATCAACGTATCATCACTATCAATGTATCACTTATCACTATCAATGTATCATTATCAATATGAAGGTGTCACCCATCACTATCAACGTATCACTTGTCACTATCAAAGTATCATCACTATCAACCTATCACTCGTCACTATCAATGTATTAGTCATCACAATCAATGTATCACTCATCACTATCAATGTATCACTCATCACTATCAATGTATCACTCATCACTATCAATGTATCACTCATCACTATCAATGTATCACTCACCACTATCAGTGTATCACTCACCACTATCAATGTATCACTCATCACTATCAATGTATCACTCATCACTATCAATGTATCACTCATCACTATCAATGTATCACTCATCACTATCAATGTATCACTCACCACTATCATTGTATCACTCACCCACTATCAATGGTATCACTCATCACTAATCAATGTATCCACTCATCACTAATCAAGTTCACTCACCACTATCATGTTTCATATTCCCTACAATGTATCACTCATCACTATAATGCCCCCCCCCCCTTATCACTATCACTATAATGTATCACTCATCACTATCAATGTATCACTCATCTCTATCAATGTTCACTCACCACTTATCATTGTATCACTCACCACTATCAATGTATCACTCATCACTATCAATGTATCACTCATCACTATCAATGTATCACTCACCACTATCAATGTATCACTCATCACTATCAATGTATCACTCATCACTATCAATGTATCACTCACCACTATCAATGTATCACTCATCACTATCAATGTACACTCCATCACTATCATGTAGCACTTCTATTCACTATCAATGTATCACTTATCACTATCATTGTATCATCACCAATTTCAAGGTATCACTTCATCACTATCAATGTATCACTCATCACTATCAATGTATCACTCATCACTATCAATGTATCACTCACCACTATCAATGTATCACTCATCACTATCAATGTATCACTCATCACTATCATGTATCAACCTATACTATCAATGTATCACTCATACTATCTATGTATCACTCATCACTATCAATGTTTCACTCATCACAGTCAATGTTATCACTCATCACTATCAATGTTGTATCACTCTTCACAATCAATGTATTATCATCTATCACTATCAATGTATCATCATCTCAATCATGTAGCACTCATCACTATAATGTATCACTCACACTATTCAATGTATCACTATAATCACTATCAATGTATCACTCACAAACTTGCAATGTTGCACTCATCACTATCTATGTTCTATCACTCTTCACTATTCATGTATCACTCATCACTTTCAATGTTATCATCATCACTATCAAGTATCACTCATCACTTCAATGTATCACTCATAACTTTCTATGTATCACTCATCACTATCAATGTATCACTCACCACTATCTCAATGTATCACTCACCACTATCAGTGTATCACTCATCACTATCAATGTATCACTCATCACTATCAATGTTATCCACTCACCACTATCAGTTGTATCACTCAATCACTATCAATGTTTCACTCATCACTATCAAGGTAATCACTCACCCTATCAGTGTATCACTTTCACTATCAATGTATCCACTCTCACTATCATGTTATCACTCATCACTTCTAATGTATCACTCACCACTATCAGTGTATCACTCATCACTATCAATGTATCACTCATCACTATCAATGTATCACTCATCGCTGTCAGTGTATCATCACTATCAATTTATCATCACTATCAATGTATCATCACTATCAATTTATCATTTTTATCAATGTATCACTCATCACTATCAATGTATCACTCATCACTATCAATGTATCACTCATCACTATCAATGTATCACTCATCACTATCAATGTATCACTCATCACTATCAATGTATCACTCACCACTATCAGTGTATCACTCATCACTATCAATGTATCACTCATCACTATCAATGTATCACTCATCGCTGTCAGTGTATCATCACTATCAATGTATCATCGCTGTCAATGTATCATTTATCACCAATAATGTATCATAACTATCAATGTATCATTACTATCACTGTATCATTGCTTTGAATGTATCATCACTATCAATGTATCATCGCTGTAAATGAATCACTCTAACAATATATCGTCACTATCAATGTATCACTAGTCAAATCATTGTATCCTCACTATCAATGTATCACTCATCACTCTCAGTGTATCATCACTCTCAGTGTATCATCACTATCAGTGTATCATCACTATCAGTGTATCATCACTATCAGCGTATCACTCGTTATCAATGGACCGTTGTGTCACTATGATCACTAATCAATGTATGCAGCTCATCACTCTACAGTTGTATCGATCTCTCATCAGTGTATCATCACTATCAGATGTATCATCACTTCAGTGTGATCTAGTCACTATCAGTGTTAGTGCACTCGTTATCACAATGTTGTCACTTATCACTTTCATTGTATCATCATCACACCGTCAATGCCTCATTCATCATTATGTCAATGTAACTTCACAATCACATACGTATCATCAACTATCAAAATATTCAGAAGCTATGAAATATATGTCATCATCATCAACGTACTGTAGATGAATGATTCAGAGAACCGACACGTTGATGAATTAGACACATGTTGAACTCTTGATACCCAAGAGTTGTACATGTGTCTAATTTATCACCATCATTGTATCATCACAATCAATATATCATCACTGTCAGTATATCATTATCAATGTATCATCACTATCAACATATCACCATCAATATATCATTACTATCAATATATCATCACTATCAATAAATCATCACCATCATTGTATCACTTACCTGTTGATAAAGATGCATGTCTTAGCGAAGAGCAGGTACCAGAGGTCCTTGTAGGTGTTATAACCGAACATAGCAAGCAGTGAGTTGTAGACCAGCAGTGTCCTGTATGGTAGCCACAGTGTAGCGAAGATTGCTACCACCACTACCAGCATCTTCACTACCTGTCAACACAACGAGTGATGAGCCTCTGTCAAGACGCCTGTCTCTTTCATTACATGTCAACACAATGAGTGATGAGCCTCTGTCAAGAAGCCTGTCTCTTAATTACCTGTCAACTCAACGAGTGCTTAGCCTCTGCCAAGACGCCTGTTTCTTCCTGTCAACACCATGGAGTTTCCTTATCTCAATACTAGCAGAATGAATTACTTTCAGGTAACGAAGATATCACCAGCACTCAAGAGTTTAGCGCTTCCTGCATAAGAACATAAGAATGGAAGAACACTGTAGAAGGCCTACTGACCTATACAAGGCAGGTCCTTATGAAAATCACCACTACTCAAAGCTACACAAGAATTTACTCCCGTACCCACCACACCAATCAAACTCAACCCCTCCCACTCATATATTTGTCCAATCTCTTTTTAAAGTTACCCAAGGTCCTAGCCTCGATTACTCTACTCGGAAGATTGTTCCAAGCATCCATAACTCTGTTCGAAAACCAGTACTTGCCTATGTCCTCTCTAAATCTAAATTTATCTAACTTAAATCCATTATTTCTGGTTCTTGCCTGGTTCGATATCCTCAGTATTTCATTATCACCTTTGTTTATGCCCGTCATCCACTTATACACTTCGATGATATTTCCCCTCATTCTACGTCTCTCCAGAGAGTGAAGATTACATATACAGTACACCATATTAGTCATCCTTCTCTGTATGTTCTCCAATGAATCTATGTCCATCCTGTAGTAAGGAGACCAAAACTGAGCGAATGTGAGTCGACTACTCGGAGCATCACTACGGACGACGCCAAGGAAGGTAAAAACATTGTTGTTGTTGGGGATAGCCAGATTAGGTACATGGATAGGGCATTCTGTTTGAAGGATAGGAGTAGGAGGCAGAGAGTGTGTTTTCCTGGGGCTGGGATGAAGGATATTGTTAGCCGTCTGGATGACATCATGAGAGGTAATGGGAGCAATCCTATTATCTGTCTCAGTGCTGGAGGCAACGATGTAAAGTAAAAGGACACAAGTGCAACTAATGTGACATTTATTGTGGCAACGTTTCGCTCTCCAGGAGCTTTATCAAGCCATTACAAACAATACATGGACACAGAGGGTATATAAAGGCTCAGAGTGAGGTGAATACTAGTGAGGTACCATTTCGATGTTCACTAGTGGTAGTAGTAGTAGTAGTAGTGGTAGTGACAAAAGCAATTAATTCGTACATGAGTAAAAGGATATAAAAGCTATTACTTGGGTAACATAAAAATAGGTTGGACAAATATAAACTGGAATGAGGCAGGTTGTTTCAGTGTTCACTCTCTGTGCTTTGTGTAGTATAACAGGAGAGACTATGTGATGGCAGGGTTTACTGTTTTCAGGAGGATTCTTGCTAAGACTTCGGAGATGGTGAAGCTGTCGTTGTTTTGTTTAATTGTATTCGAAACAGCGATCAGTGCTGATTCAAGGCACTTGCGTGTGCGGAAATTAGTTTCTTTTATCACTAATTGGGCGTCTCTGAATTTCATAAGATGATTGGTGGAATTTCGGTGTTGTACACAGGCGTTGTTTAAGTTGTCGTTCCTACATGCGTATATGTGTTCATTGAGGCGGGTGTCGAGGTTTCTTGCTGTTTCACCTACGTAGATCTTGTCACAGCCTCCACAGGGTATAGTGTAAACTCCTGCATTGACTGGTTCGTGGTTCTTGGGTTTTGTCCTGACGTGATTGGAGGCAACGATGTTGGCAGACGTAGGAGTGAGGACCTGATTAGCAGGTATAGGTCAGCAATAGAGATAATTAGGAAGAAGGGTGGGAAACCTGTCATATGTGGCATTTTGCCAAGGAGAGGAGTTGGAAATGAATGGTTGTCCAGGGCAATTGGTGTCAATTGCTGGCTGGACAAATACTGTAAGGAAAATGCGGTAACATTCATTGACAACTGGGACCTCTTCTATGGCAGAAATGACATGTATGCCAGGGATGGGGTTCACTTGTCTAGGTGTGGGGTGGGAGCACTGGCCAACGCAGTGGAGGGAGCTGTTAGGTCTTTAAACTAGGAATAGTTAGTGGTATGGGTTTTGGCGGGAAAACTGTGAAGTCGCAGGGTAGTAACATGAGTACTAGGAGAACTAGTAATAGGCAAAATGAGGAGGATATTGGAAAGCCAGTGGCACAAATTGACAATGACAGTAATAGGTTTAGTGGAATAACAGAAAGGAGCAGGAAGGGTAAAGAGATAGGAGGGTCATTAAATATTTATTACACAAATAGTCGCAGTGCTAGGAATAAGATGGACGAGTTGAGACTAGTTGCTAGTGCAGGTAACATAGATGTATTTGCCATTACTGAGACGTGGTTTAATTCAAAAAGTCGGGACATGCCTGCAGAATGTCACATTCAGGGTTTTAAATTGTTCCAAGTAGATAGAAGTATCGGGAAGGGGGGTGGGGTGGCATTGTATGTCCGAGATCGCTTGAACTGTTGCATAAAAACGGGTATTAAGTCTGAAGTAACACATACAGAGTCTGTTTGGATAGAATTTTCAGAGGGGCATGAAAAATTAATTTTAGGTGTGATATACCGTCCCCCAAATTTAGATAGGGACCAGGGGAGACTACTATGGGAGGAAATTGTTAGGGCCACAAGGCACGATAATGTAGTAATTCTAGGAGACTTTAACTTTAGTCATATTGATTGGAATTTCTTAACTGGGAATTTAGAATCATACGATTTCTTAGAAGTAGTTCAGGATTGTTTTTTGAAGCAGTTTGTGACAGAACCTACAAGGGGTAATAACCTGCTTGACTTAGTTCTGGCAAACAATGAATCCCTTGTTAATAATTTAGAAGTTTCAGAGGAACTGGGTGCCAGCGACCACAAATCAATTACATGTAGAATTGAATGGAAGTATGATAGTAGGGATAAACTCAGTAACAGTCCCAGATTTTCGCCTAGCAGATTACGATGGCTTAGAGAACACTTATCATCTGTTGACTGGGGTAACGAAGAGAGCTATCAATATGACAGTTTTCTGAACACTATACATGCTGCTCAAAGAACGTTTATCCTTATAAGGAAATTAGATCAAATAGAAATGACCCAAAATGGATGAATAATAGGCTGAAATATCTACTAGGGCATAAGAAAGGAATTTATAGGCGTATCAAAAGAGGCGAGGGTCATCTTATGAATCAGTATATTGACATTAAGAGGGTCATTAAAAAGGGGATAAGAAAAGCTAAAAGGGACTATGAAATTAAAGTTGCTAGGGATTCTAAAACTAACCCAAAAAGTTTTTTCCAGGTCTATAGAACAAAAGTCAGAGATAAGATAGGTCCCCTTAAAAATAACTATGGGCATCTTACTGACAAAGAGAATGAAATGTGCTCGATTTTAAATAATTATTTTCTCTCGGTTTTTACACAGGAAGACACTAATAATATTCCGGTAATTAATTTTTATAGTGGATCAGAAGAAGATAAATTATGTAACATCACAGTCACTAGTGAAATGGTTGTGAAGCAGATAGACAGACTGAAGCAAAATAAGTCACCGGGTCCTGATGAGGTTTTTTCAAGGGTTCTAAAGGAATGCAAAATGGAAGTCTGTGAACCATTAACTAATATTTTTAATTTATCTCTTCAAACAGGTGCAGTGTCTGATATGTGGAAGATGGCTAATGTAATTCCTATTTTTAAAACAGGGGACAAGTCGTTACCGTCAAATTACCGCCCAATAAGCCTGACCTCAATTGTAGGCAAATTACTAGTCAATTATAGCTGAGATTATAAGAAGCCATCTCGATAAGCATAGCTTGATTAATGATACTCAGCATGGATTCACAAGAGGCCGGTCTTGTCTAACTAATTTATTAACTTTCTTCAGTAAAGCTTTTGAGGCTGTTGACCACGATAAAGAATTTGATATTACTTACTTAGATTTTAGTAAGGCATTTGATAGAGTTCCGCACCAAAGACTGTTGAAGAAAGTAGCAGCTCATGTCATTGGGGGAAGGGTGCTCTCGTGGATCGAATCATGGCTCACAGACAGGAAGCAAAGAGTGTCCATAAATGGGGTTAAATCCGAGTGGGGATCAGTAACAAGTGGCGTTCCACAGGGATCAGTCTTGGGCCCGTTGTTGTTTATAATATATATCAATGATCTTGATGAAGGAATTACTAGTGATATGAGCAAATTCGCCGATGACACGAAGATAGGTAGGATAATTGATTCAAACGTAGATGTTAGGGAACTTCGGGAGGATTTAGACAAACTCTACTCTTGGTCAGAAAAGTGGCAGATGCAGTTCAATGTAGATAAATGCAAGGTTCTGAAGCTCGGGAGTGTCCATAACCCTAGCACTTATAAGTTAAATAATGTAGAACTTAACCATACAGATTGCGAAAAGGACTTGGGGGTTATGGTAAGCAGCAACCTTAAACCAAGACAGCAATGCCTAAGCGTACGTAATAAGGCAAATAGATTACTGGGATTTATATCAAGAAGTGTAAGCAACAGAAGTCCAGAGGTCATACTGCAGCTTATACATCATTAGTAAGGCCTCACCTAGATTATGCAGTTCAATTCTGGTCTCCATATTACAGAATGGACATAAAATTCGTTAGAAAACATTCAGCGTTAGGATGACTAAATTAATACATAGCATTAGAAATCTTCCTTATGAAGAAAGATTGAAGACTCTTAAGTTACATTCACTTGTTAGACGAAGAATGAGGGGAGACCTGATCGAAGTGTATAAGTGGAAGATAGGTATTAATAAAGGGGATATTAACAAGGTCTTGAGAATATCTCTCCAAGAGAGAACCCGCCCGTAATGGATTTAATTATGATAAGTTTAGATTTAGAAAGGACATAGGAAAGTATTGGTTTGGAAATAGGGTAGTAGATGAGTGGAACAGTCTACCTAGTTGGGTTATTGAGGCTAGGACTTTGGGTAGTTTCAAATTTAGGTTGGATAAATACATGAGTGGGATGGGT